TATATATATATATGTGTGTATACGTATATATATGTATATATATTTATATATTTATATATATATATATAGCTGCGTGTCTGTGTACACGGACACGGACACGTTAATGTACATCTGTGTGCACATACATAAGTATCTGCGGAACATATACTTCGGCTTATATCGAATACGCGTATATTCAAATAAGAGCATACATGCACCCGTCTTGTACCCCCTACTAAACACATGCACACACCCACCTTCCGCAGAGAACCCGAAGATGCGCTGGTTAAGGCTGGGTTCAAGGACAATCTTTTTGTCACTGGATGGGGTGAGCTGCGCATTAAAGCACTGAGTGATGAGCTAGCACACCCCGCACTAACGAACTCACTGGCAGACTATGAGGCCTCAGGGTTCGCCGAGGGCTATCTGACCGCCCACCACACCTACAACCAGTACAGGTGCGTGGTATGACAAGTGTGCGTGTGTCGGATATGTAACTGTTAGGATTGGACCATCGGACAACTCGTCAATATACGTTAGGTGTTGCATTTTCAAAGGTCGCTGACTTCTAGTTCATTTCACGTTGTCAGAAAAACACGTGTATCAATATCTATATATATGCATGTATATATATATATATATTATATTATATATGTATATATATATATATAAATCAGTACAGTGCTAGTGTCAGTTGAACTTTATATCTGTTTTTGGAACTGCTCAGTCTATCCGTGGCCGGTTAGTTATAACATTTTGTATCTGATATATATTTTAATCCACTGTTGCTATTGAATGCAATCCATCGCACCAGAAACTTGCTGGTTGTCATGGCCGAGGGCAAAATCGCACCAAATATCGAGAAGTGGTTTGGTCAGCAGCTGACCTGGTCTCGCAAAATGTGCCGCACGAAGGCGAAATCCGATAATCTGTGGCGACACACAGGTGCGTGAGAGCAGGGCGCTCTGATGGACTCTGCCATGTGTATTTGTTTGTTGTTGTTCGTGTGCAGTGAATGGGATAGTCCAGGTTGTAGCTTGGGATGTACGTGCGTGTTCCTGTGTCCGTGTGTCTCGGTGCCTTCTGTGTTGTTTCTGTGTCTGTGTTACCATATTCTTGGACATATGTGTGTAATCGTAAGCGGGGCTTTGTGCTATTGTGCGAATGCGTGCGAGCGTGCATGGTACATCTCCAATTACAGGCCTTATCTTATACTATATACCATATGGCCTTATCTTATACTATATACAGTATGGCCTTATCTTATACTATATCCCATATGGCCTTATCTTATCTATATCCCGTATGGCCTTATCTTATACTATATACCATATGGCCTTCTCTTATACTATATACAATATGGCCTTATCTTGTACTATATACCATATGGCTTTATCTTATACTATATACCATATGGCCATATCTTATATTATACACCATATGGCCTTATTTTGTACTATATACTGTATGGCCTTATCTTATACTACATGCCATATGGCCTTAACTTCTACTATTTACCATATGGCCCTATCATATACTATATACCATATGGCCTTATCTGGTACTATATACTGTATGACCCTATCTAAAACTATACACCATATGGCCTTATCTTGTACTATATACCATATGGCCTTATCTTATACTACATGCCAAATGGCCTTAGCTTCTACTATATACCATATGGCCCTATCTTATATTATATACCATATGGCCTTAGCTTCTACTATATACTGTATGGCCTTATCTTATACTATATACCGTTTGGTCTTTTCTTATACTATATACCATATGGCCTTATCGTATACGAAATACTGTATGGCCTTATCGTATACTATATACCATAAGGCCTTATCTTATACTATATACCATATGGCCTTATACTATACCATATGGCCATATCTTATACTATAAACCTTATCGCCTTAGCTTGTACTATATAACATATGGCCTTATCTTATACTATATACCATATGGCCTTATCTTATACTATACACCATATGGCCTTATTTTGTACCATAAACTGTATGGCCTTATTTTGTACTATAAACTGTATGGTCTTATCATATACTATATACCATATGGCCTTATCTTGTACTATGCAACATATGACTGTATCTTACGCTATATACTCTATGGTTTTATCTTGTACTAAATACTATATGCCCCTATCTAAAACTATGTACCATATGGCCTTATCTTACGCTATATACCATATGGCCTTATCTTCGACTATATACCATATGGTCTTATCTTGTACTATATACTGTATGTCCTTACCTTATACTATATACCGTATGGCCTTATCTTATACTATATACCATATGACCTTATCTTACGCTAAATAACATATGGCCTTATCTTGTACTATATACCATATGGCCTTATCTTATTCTATATACCATATGGCCTTATCTTATTCTATATACCATATGGTCTTATCTTATACTATATACCATATGGCCTTATCTTACACTATATATCATATAGCCTTATCTTGTACTATATACCATATGGCCTTATCTTACCCTATATAACATACGGTCTTATCTTGTACTATATACCATATGGCCTTCTCTTATACTCCGTATGGCCTTCTCTTATACTCTGTATGGCCTTATCTTTTACTATATATCGTATGGCCTTATCTTATACTATATACCATATGGCCTTACTTTGTACTATATACTGTATGGCCATATCTTGTACTATAGACTGTATGGCCTTATCTTACGCTATATACCATATGGAGTGTTGTATGTCACTGTCTATTCCCGTCTCATAGGTACGTGTCTTGTCTGCTATTCTTACACACTTGTATCCATCTGTATGTGTGTTCTTATTGTCGTGCCGTATATCTTGGGTTGAGGTTGGTTGGATTAGGTTGGGCGCTGTGCCTGCCCATTCCATGTGCGTCTGTGTGGCTGCCACGTGGTCAACAGACCACCACCATCACCAACGCACACAATCCATCTTTGGCAAATAAACATTACACACTGAACATCCTCAACGCACACAACCCATCTGTGGCAAATATACATCACACACTCAACATCCTCAACCCCAAAACAGCGCAACGTGTTCTACGCCCACCACTCCTGTGCAGCTCAAACACTGTGGCACACCCAACACTCTACCATGCAGCAGCTCACACACCAAACACTCTAACATGCAGCAGCTCACACACCAAACACTGTGGCACACACAGCGTTGACTTTGGCACCTAGTAGGCTCATTGGCGTTCTAACCTCCTGAATTACTACTCCTTGTCATGTGGGTGTGTAGCCATGATTCTGGCACAGTTGGATGGCTTCACCAAAGGCTTTAACCGCAAAGCTGCGCTGTCGGACGGGGCGATTCCTGCGATGACGGAGGTGGAGATTCTGTGGCTGAATTCCATTGGCGATGTACTCGACCTACACGTGGCCGACAAAAACATCGACGAGGTGACTGGGTTTGTTGTTTGTTTTCTTAGTCGCTGTGTATAGACATCAACAAGGTGACTGGGTTTGTTGTTTGTTTTCTTAGTCGCTGTGTATAGACATCAACGAGGTGACTGTGTTTGTTGTTTGTTTTCTTAGTCGCTGTGTATCGACATCAACGAGGTGACTGTGTTTGTTATT